CATTGTCAGGTCGTCTGTTGTCCACGCCATGTTTCCTATGCCATGCTTCCAAGTTTCTTGTCTAGGTTTTTCTTATTGTTTGTTTAGATTTCCCAGTTTAGGTTTGTGTGAATTTTGCTTCAGTTTGCCCTTTGTTTGTACCTTTTTTATAAGCCATATTAAACGGCTCGCTTTTTGTTAACATTTCAAGTTCTGTTCCCTGTTCCTTGGAGTCTGCGTTTTGGGTCCTTTTGTCAACCCCTACAGTCTGCCCTCGCCAGACTGTGACAACCAATGGTATCAATTTGTCCTTGGAGACCTTAAACTCGGCCATGATTTTTAGAAGATGAACCTACGCTAACAATTTGAATATCGCGTCCATACTCCACCCTTGTAAAAAACCTGCTGTCTACAAAACTCCCACAAAGCAGCAAATCGAGAAGTCGTGGCTAATGTAACTTTGGGCCACTACACTCAAGCACAGACTGGCAGCGTGCCGTGGAAGCCTGCTAAACTCACTTCATTCTGAAGTCACACTCCCAGATGATAGTGCCGCTCAAAGTTTTCCATCTGGAGCTGCAGATGTAGAAGCAGTACCTAACAACTTCCAGCAACCATGACCTCATGTGTAAAACTGGTGTCCTTCATTAATGAGAAACCATCTAGCATCCTTGCATCGGTCTTTCACGCAGCAGGCTACTACTTTTTATTTTAAGAGGACAAGTTGAAGATAACAGTAGGAGCGGCACACTGTTGCCTAAAGTAAACAGTGTAGCAGGATCTTGTAAACAAGACATTATGTAGTTAATATTTGATGTTTGCATTCGTAGACCGTTCTTAACAAGGCAACGAGGAACAAATTGTGACGTATAAAGGTGCTGTAGAGAAAACTATAGACATTACTACCTGAATGTTCATTTCCTATTTTTATGTTGTACACAATGTGCTGGAAAGAGACAGGAGGGTCCAAGGAGCTTGGAAAGAAAAGCATCTGGACTTCTTTAGGTTGCTTGAAGATGTTTCACCTCTCATCCAAGAAGCTTCTTCAGTTCTACGGTCAAATGGTGGAGAGTCCCACCATTATTATGTACTGGAGATGTAACTGCTACTCAGTAAATTATATGAATACTTAAGCTTTAAATGATAAACCTTTCCTTCTTTTCATTTAACCTCCTAGGACCTGCGTCCACATATGTGGACATCATATTTTGGGTTATTTAGCCCAAAATACTCAATTTTGCTCTACATGGGCCTGATATCCACTTACGAGGACATTATATGCTACTGTTCTATCAACATTTTAAACAAATATCCTCATATGTGGCTCTTATTTTTCATAAAAACAAAAATAAGGTAAAAAAAATAATCTGGTAATTCTTTGTTTTTACATTCATCGGGCCCCAATCAGCTCAAATATCAAAGAGAAATTAAAAATGCTGCCGTGGAAGAGTTCAGGTCTTAGGAGGTTAAAATGTAAAATTCCCACTATGTTTTCCAAAACGGAGAACATGTACGTGTAAACATAATTGGAGCTGAGATTAAGTGAAATCACATAACACAGTGACAGAGAGCGAGTGAAACATGTCCGTCGTGTCGGTATGTCCCCGCGGAGCTATCATTAATTAACCGTGAGATTGGTTCCCTCCACGTCCCACCCCCGTCGCTCGTTCTGCTGATCCTGAGCTGTCGAGGGGATTCGCCCTTCTCACCTCAGACAAAGAAACAGGCAGTGTTGGTAAAACGGACAAAACACAGATGTGTGAGAACACACCAGATACAAAAGAAAACACATTTTAGCCTCCACACTTCTCAAGCTCCTGCACATATGTTCTGGTCCAGCTGCCTATAGCTTTCTTTCAGCACTGCAGTACATCACTAATGATAGCTCAAATCCCTCAACTCCCCTATACTACCCAGAGGGGTGGAGAAATCTGCCAAACTGGTACAGGTCCTCTCCTTACCTCTCACACTACGGTATTTGACAACCAACTAGGGAACTGTAAAATTAAAGGCCTTGGCAAATGAAATTCTGTGACATGGCAGCATGAATCAAAGCAGGCCCCGCATTGGGAGCTTGTGGAAGACGAATGAACAAGGTGTGCTCTCAGAAGGAATACAAAAATAAAGTGAAAAGTTAGCGAGGGCAAAAAAAACCCCCTACAAATATTATAATGTTAAGGAAGCAAAGTGCATCATCTGGTATCCGACAGCTGCATCCTGGTTATTGACTGAAGAGGTATCGGTTCATCATTTCACCTTGAAAAGGAGAGTGCTTTGTATAAAAGCTCTTTCAAAACACACACTTTATTGACTTCCTTTGATATTAATAGCCTGTGACACAAAATGCCATTTTCCCAGCGAAGCCACGTTACTTCTTATCTGATGTGACCTTGTTGATGGTGCCGGACGCGGTGCTGTAATGTATCTCAGCTCGGGCATCATTGCAGATTACCGATGCCACACAGCCAGAATGAATATGAACTGCTTTGCCTTTGTTCCAGATCTTCAAACCTCACATATGAAGGCTATGTCAGTCCCAATCACAAGACTCCCTCGCAGTGGCCTCCTCCACGCCGCTCTGATACAGACGTACAAGTGACAGCACCGATGTGAAGGGCCATCATCGCTGTGAGTCAGCCTATCTGTCGTTGAGGTGAAGAGGCTGATAACAGTGGTCCCTGTCTGTCATACAACAAGCAACCCCAACACCATCTCACCCCCGAGGGAGACTTACTGCTTTAATGTGGACAATGAATGGTTCAATTTGTCCCGTGCGTGTCAACGGACCGGCTCGGTGTGATTACTTTCTTGGCACAGTAGTGACAATCATTGGCTTGGTCAGGACGTATTGGGAGAAAGGCCTCCGTCAGGCCGGAATAGGAGTGAGTGACAGAGAGAGACGGAAAAAGGAGAAAAGGGAGAGACGGGTAGAGAAAGGGAGCGGCGGCGGCGAGGCCGGCTTTGCACGCCTCAGTGAGCAGCGGCATTCAATCCTCCATAGGATAAGAGATACAGTATTCTGACCTTGACTGATCGAGGAGAGAAACAAACCTACAATCCATCCATGCAAAGTCACAAAGAAGACACAGAAACGCTGTTAAGTGCAGAAAAAGGACAAGAGCACTTCTTTTTTTTACATTTCCCTTTGTCACATTTTTAGCTCTGGTCACCTGTGCCATATGTGTCCAACGGTGTAAGATTCCTAGCATTAGTTTGACACGGTGGGAAACACAGTAGGCTTTGTCACTTTCTTGCTGACAGTTAAATGAGAAAATCAACACCACTCTCATGTCCGGAGAGGCCACTCTAAAGACTGTTAGCTCAGCTTATGTAGCAATAAGACTTGAACCTTATTTGGCTAGGTAATCAACTCCAGAACCTTTAAAGCTCTCTAATTACAGCGGTGCACGATTATTGCATGTACTGCATTAGTAGACTTGAACTAAATATTATTTTAAGAGTGATTTAAATCATTTTTCGAGACAGAATTTTGAAACCAAGTGAGTTTATTCAGTGTGTCTCCATCCTTGAGTGTCAAACACTGTCAGATGCTGCTGTCACTGCAGAGAAACGCACAAAGGTTTCCTCGGAGGGCGCTCTCTGCACCGGGGTTGTGATCGACCGTGGCTGCTG